AATAGATTTCAGATCAACACAGTATACATCAACAGATGCATGTGTAGAATCCCAGCCTGGTTTGTATTGGAAGAGATCTTAAAGCTCATCCAGTCCCAACCCCTGCCACAGGCAGGGACACCTTCCACTAGAGCAGCTTGCTCCAAGCCCCTGTGTCCAACCTGGCCTTGAACACTGCCAGGGATGGGGCAGCCACAGCTTCTCTGGGCACCCTGGGCCAGCGCCTCAGCACCCTCACAGGGAAGAGCTTCTGCCTAAGAGCTCCTCTCAGTCTCCCCTCTGGCAGGTTCAAGCCATTCCCCTTGGCCTGTCCCTACAGGCCCTTGTCCCAGGCCCCTCTCCAGGTCTCCTGCAGCCCCTTCAGGCACTGGAGCTGCTCTCAGGTCTCCCCTTCAGGAGCCTTCTCTTCTCCAGGCTGCCCCACCCCAGCTCTCTCAGCCTGGCTCCAGAGCTGCTCCAGCCCTCGCAGCATCTCTGTGGCCTCCTCTGGACTCAGAATGCATGATGGTTTCTTGTAAGATCATTTCAGATACTAAGAATACCTGCAGGACCTTAACAGCATTTGCTTTTCTGTAGCTATTTTCATTTGTTTTCTCCATATAAAGGTTGAGAATGAAGTCAGTTCTGATGTTAACCTAAATACACAAATATCTGTGGATATTAGACTTTTTAATAGCACACATCTGTCTCCATTGCAAAAGCTGAATAGTTTCTCTGCAATGCTTAACTCAGCTAAACTGACCTGTCTAACCTGCAAACTCATTGCATTCTTACAAGTATGAAAATGAGCTGTCTGCTAAATGGGGCATTGCTCCAGGAACTCAACAAGATGCTGATACCCATTTTTAATTCATTAAATGAATTAATTCTCTTGAGTTAATTCTCCCGTTATTCCCTACTAGGAATATACACTGAATCATCTGGTTCACCAGATTTTGATCAGCTGCCAGGGTGAGTTAGTGCAGAGTTGAGTATGTTGAAGATTAATAAAAGCACACACATCCTGCATCCATGTGCAAAGCGCAGCAAAAATGAATGTGAGGAAAATCAAGCATTGGGAAAATAAAGCTGTCTGGTGCTCAAACAGCAGAGCTTGCTGAAGAACTCTGCTCTGAAATGGACATAAACCAAACCAAACCCCTCCCAGTTGCTTTAGTTAAACAAATATATTCCATTTGCCCCCTCTCCTCCACTCAAATGGAGCTTCAGAGGACGAGCTGCTTTGACATGAATAATTGAACCATTTCATGTTCACTCCCATAACACAGAAACAGGAATCTTTTTCCTAAACAAAGCGCTTGAGTTTAAGTTTTGTCTCCTGCAAATCCATAAATCTGGAGCAGGTTTAGATTCAGAGACAGGGGCTTGTTTCAGTGAAAAAAACATTCCGTTGGGAGCCATTGAATCTGAACAGTTTCAGCCAGCTCTAGTGAACAGGGTCCAAAGGCAGCTTCACTTTGTTACTGAAGAGACGCCAGAAATGGTACAACATAATCCTGAAGTAAAATGTAAATGACAGCCCTGAGGCAGGAAACAAGATTGAGTTACAATTAGAAAACCAGGCTGTCGATACTCTGATCCTCCAACAATGCAAGAAAATTGCCGTCAGTCTCCAATTTCACACGTTGTTGGAAGCAAAAACACAGGGCAGGTAAGAAACACACACGTGCAAATGCACTGTAATAAAAGCTGGAAGGAGCAGCGAGGCAGTTGTCCAAAACCAGCTAAACTTGAGATCCTGTTGATTTGCACATCTCTAAGTCATTTTCGTAGTTGATAATGGCCAATAGTCATCTATAAATGTCTCTTACTACTAACACTTTAAAATATAAATATAATGGAATTTTTCAAGAGGGACCACTCTCAAAACAGTGTCTATTCCCTTCTTGTACTGGTTTGTTTTTTTGTTTTATACTTAGAAAACAGTAAAACATTTATTTATTGTTTTATGCCTGTATAAGTTCATTAACATCACTCAACTTGTTCATCTGCAGCGGAACTGAGAAAAGGATCTATGAATCAATTCTGATGAAAATGTCTTGAACACAGATCAGAGGAGTAGTGCAGGCTGACCTATGCTAGACCATCAGTTGATAGAATCAGAATCATAGAATAATTATGGTTGGAAAGGACCTTAAGATCATCCAGTTCCAACCCCCCTGTCATGGGCAGGGACACCTTACGCTAAATCATATCACCCAAGGCCTCGTCCAGCCTCGCCTTGAACACTGCCAGGGATGGAGCATTCACAACCTCCCTGGGCAACCCATTCCTCTACTGTGGAGATGGACACACACCCTCACCACCCTAACAGGTGGTGTCTCACCACCCTAACAGGAAAGAATTTCCTTCTTATATCCAATCTAAACTTCCCCTGTTTAAGTTTTAATTCTTTCCCCCTTGTCCTGTCACTACAGTCTCTAATGAAGAGTCCCTGCCCAGCATCCCTATAGGCCCCCTTCAGATACTGGAAGGCTGCTATGAGGATGTTGGCTTTGGCTTCAGGAAACGTGCAAAGTAATGCAAGCATAGACATGTGTATGTATATATGCATGTATGTATAAATATATATATCTGCTGTCTTAGTGCAGTCTCAAGGGCCATCTCATCACTGAGGCTGCCAACACGGAGGTCAGTAGTGATGTGGGTATCTATTTGCTGCCTCATCCCTTTCTACCTACCACGCTTAGGTAACACTTTGAATGATTTTTTGTCATTGCTAACCTTAACAGAATTCATACATAAAAGGAGAAAACTCAGGATCCTGCCACTGTTTAGCTCTGTTCTGAATTTTGTGTGTTCAGGGTTGACTCAGAGTCGTTCTGTGTCCTCCAGATATCCTTGATTTATTAATGGCAAACCTGGGGGAAGGAGCTGCAATAGCTGGCTTAGAAATGTAACTTTGAATTTGCCAGTTGGAGCATAGTGTATTTTTGTTAAATATATAATAAAATATACAAACTATATATACAAAATACACAACTGGACAAGATGAACACTTTTTCTCCTCTAAAAAGACATTACTACAACATCCATTCTCATCTTCAGATATTCAGTGCCACATTTTCTGAATATCTTGAGAGAATTTCAGATTTTATATGTAGTAAAGGTTTGTTCTTTGGTTTCCTGAAGCATCTTCCTTGACCCTGAGCCAATACTGTCTTTAGCAAATTGAATATCCATTGTGTTAGGAAAGGAATGTTTTTGCATTGGGTCTTACTTGTAGTGATGGAAGCTGAGTTCTGTGTTATCTTGTAGTCTTTCAACCCTGTCATACTGTCACATTTTGGAGTAGATTGTCCTGGTATCTCTGGGAGAGCTCTATAAGGCAACTTGATGAAACAGTACTATGGCAATGAGCAATGCTCAGCTGGCTTCCCCGCTGCTGAGCCTCTGCCACAGAGACTTTGATCAGATTTAAAAGGAATTTAGTGCCCTATGGACAGGCACAAAGACTCTTCCATTCCTAAAACCTGATTTAAGGGGGGTTGAACACTTCCCACCCGCTTGAAAAGCTGTTGACCTGCTGTTGTCTCTGATGAATGGGACCTTACTAGAGTAATGGTGAAATAAAAGAGGGAGGTTTTGAATCGGGTTGAATACTTGAGGGCACATCCTTCACTGCCTGTGCTACCACAAATCTGATACAGAGTACTTGAATCATACCAAGTGGACAGATGGGGACAGTAACTTCTTAAATGAACACTGAACTATTCTAATTACCTAAAAAACCCAATTCAGAGACTAATTAAAGCTAATAATACACCTGTCTTTATCCAGGAAAGCAAATAACCAGTTGAGAGATCAACAAGCCCTTCTAAATCTGAGTGTACAAATCACAGAGATTACTAATCATCACTCTGGATTAGGCAGTGGATTGCAAACAGAAGTCAAAAGATACTTGGTTGGTAGGGTTATGTCAAGAAAAGGAAATTATTCTATTTGATGGATGCACGCAATTAAAACTGTCTGAAAGAGCTCAAATTTAATCATAGACACAGCGAAGGGCTCACAAACGCTCTAAGGAGCAATAATTGGGCATACAAATTATGTAGGAGAAACGCTATGGGGCAAATGTGCTGGTGGAAAACTGAACTGTTCCAGGCAGATCTGGTGTCAAAACGGCCCAAACGCCTTAAATTATTCACAGCCCATCGTTTGTGCAGCTCAGTGGATTACAAAAGTTATCGATCAGGTAGTTTATAGTAGTTGGAGGGATTTACAGAAACTCGTTTCTTCCCTTCTGTTACTCTGTAGTACGTTGGGGTTTCACAAAATGCAGGGGGATGAAGCTCTGCATTATTTATAACGTGCTCAGCTAATGGGGATGGCAGAGTCAGGAGAAGTCTCCAACCTTTACAATACTGCATTTCACATCTCCAAAATGAACAGCTTTGCCTGAATCATACATTGTAGATAATGGCAGAAAAGCCAGGCATGATACATGGTCATAATACGGATGAAAGACTAACAGCTTACTGGTGGATCGCTATCAAACTCTTATTTAAAAAGCAAATCTCCTGTCCCTCCATTGCCCTCCCCTTCAGCATAGCAGAACTCTGCCCATGTGGAATTCAACAGCTTACTACCCTGTTGGTAGCACAAATCCTTGACTTCTGAGACTGGGCAGTGTTGTGTATAATAGGTCGTAAATACTTGAAAGTCAGTCAGTTTGTCATCTACAGAGGAATGCAGTTGGCCATCAGCTTGATCTTTAACGGTGAACTTCAGATGTATGGGAGGAAATTTCCTCTGGGACACAGTAGACACACAGCCCTCTTCAGTCTGTGGGCTGAACTGTTGCATGGTGTCAGGAGGAACGTGCCGGGATGGCTGCACTGCAGTTGGTATTGCTTGTGAAGCATCATGCTGTGTTTCTCCACAGGGATGGGAGATCCGCTTCCAGCAACACTGAAGACAAAGTGCAAATCTCCATTCAGAATATACAGAGATGGGGAATTCCTGCAGCACTCACTAAGATCAAGGAGACAGAAGAGTGGCAAGAAGTCTCATCCAGTCTTGCTTGCAGTTGGCCTCTTCTAGAAGCAGAGAGAAAAATACGGCACAGAATGCTCAATCTGTAAGTGTTCTGACTTGAAATATGTTTCTAAATCTCCTGGAAGGAACAGGAAAGTTTGAGACTAGAAAGGATGACTGTGATAGTTTACTGTTAACTGTATTCTATAAATGTAGGCTTAACATTTCTGTGCTGTCTCACCACGTCCCAAATCTCCCTAACGTTATCATAACGTTATTTCTGCATTTGTACCATATGTGAAATCAGAAGTAGAAAAATCCCTTTAGAGTGAGGATAAAACCTCAGACTGTGGGAGTGGATGTACAATAACCTTAGCTCTGACTGCGATGTTACATATGCACCAGTAAAGCGTGTGTGGCTGTTTGAGCAAGATGTGTGACTGGAAGTGCCAGACTCCACTCTTCCCAACAAACCATGGCTGCCTGCTCAGCCAGCGGGTATTGTCACGACAGGATTCTGCAGGATAATCAAGGCTCATTTCAGTGTAACTTCTGGAAGGTTCCATGTCATCAGCCACATATGCTTGTTGCCTGATGCTCACATATGCCAACACATAAAATGCCAATGCTGTAATCCTGTAACATTTGAAAGCTTTTATTTTCTATAGCTACTGCAGGCTGGCAAGATAACACTGTGGCAGGAAACAGGAGAGTATCAGGCGCTGATCTAAGCAGAGGAAGAGGGACTGGAGGAAGGTAATGACTAGAACCAAGGAAATTCATGGCCCCTTCTAGGGCTAAGGATTTATGTTTCTTTTCTGGTTGCTTTGTGGGGGCTATTATATTGTAATGCTGAACCCTTTTCATCAGTGGCCTAAAAGCAGCAAATGTTGCCACGACATGAAGTATTGCAAATTATATAGACAGTTGATTCCTAGTCCAGAACTGCACCAGCCACAAGGAAAATGCAAAGTTATGCTCACCCAGCTGGATATGTATCTTGTGACTGGAGCGTCTCTGATCCACAAAGGCTCGTGTTTGAGATTTAGCATCTAGAATTTGAGTTGCTTTCAAAGTAGTTGCAGGAATTAAGCAGAAGTGATATCTAGTGAGGAGCTGCAGTTGGTTCCTGCTCCCTGGAAAACTGAAAAAAAGCACAAGATCAATCAAAACTCAGTGTATATTATTCATCTGACTTTGAGTATAGCAAAAACCCAACCTGGCAGCAGTAAAAGGCCTTTCCTTCTGAGGGGCAGCAGAGCCCAGCTCAGGAGCCCAAAAACCAAACCAGGGCTGTAGGAGGCTCTTCTGAGCAGCCTCCTCCAGTCTGTGTCCCTTTATTCCTGCTGCATAAATGTTTGCAGTCTTCCAGGCTCTGCAGGGAATACAGCAGTACATTTAAATGTGAGGAGGAAAGAGCTGGTGCAGGTAACATCACCGCTTCACACCCAGTCCTGAGATCCAAGGTACCATTTTGGAGTAAGAGAATAACGAGTCTGTCAGATGGACAACTGCTCAAATCCTGGAGCGATGCATTGCTGAGGCAGAGGTGTAATGAACTCCTCAGAGGTGGTTTTTATCTGGTGTAAATTGACACAGCTTCAATGGAGCCCACAGGAAAACTAGCCCTGGCTTCATAGAAATGCGCAGTAATGATCTCTCCCTCTTCTGTTGGGAAGCTTTTATCCTCAAAAGCTGTGTTCCACACAGATTATCTGGATCATATTTTCTCTGTTTTAAGATACAGGCTCTGGCCTCTCGATTTAACTGCAGCATTTTGTGTCAGAAAAAGGCAGTACCTTCTAAGGGTAGCTCATGCATTGAACTCAGCTGCCAGAGCTACTCACACTGCCTTGTGTAACTGGCTGCTCACAAATCTTTATCTAAAATATAAAGGTAAATAACTATTAAAACCCCTAACCTAAACTGAGGCAGTAAATTATCCCACAAACTGCTTTTACTGCTCCGTTTTGCTGGGATTTACTCAACCTATAAATCAGAGCTGAACAAGAAGTTTACAGAATGATGGCCACAAGGATCTTTATGAGGTCTGTAGCCATAAATGTCAAAGCTGAAGAGGCTGAGCCAGTAACCATCTGAGCTCTGCTCGGTGTTAGATGAGAGGGATTCTGCCTCACCCTCTAAAAGCTCGTGTAATTGTTTTGGGGCTAGTTCTTTAAATGCATGAGCTGGGAGGAGGCTGGTGGGTGCCCAGTGAGCACCCAGTGTTTAGAGCAACCACTTGACACCCACAGGAAGGCAGGGTTTGGCTTCCTCTTGAGCCCACATGGCTTGGACTCAGGTGCCCAGGAAGGTGCTGGGTAGCAGGGTTGTAAAAGAAATGCAGCTTCCATGGACCAGGAAGAGCAAAGGAAATGACCGCTGAAAGCAGGATTGTGGGAATGTCAGAAGAAATGATGCTTGCATCGGACTGAAAGTCAGGACAAAGGAGGGAGGCTTTGCTGGACTGAGCCTCCTGCCTCCCAATGGATGTGTGCAGGGATCGTCCTTCCCCCAGGCTGTTAAACCTGAGGGAAGCAAACATTTAGGCTATAAATGATTTGGTGCAGCCAGAAGGTTCTGACTCTGAAAGCTGCTGGTTTATGTTTCTACTCGGTAATCTTGGTTCTCATCCATCATGAATCTGATTAAAACGCATGTCCTGAAGACTTGACAGGCTGAGTGGTAAACAGCTGAATCAATAGGGATTGCCTTGTAAAGGGAACTCCAGCTCCTGGGTGCTGCTTCCACCTGCAAGGCAGAGGAAATCTAGGAAATAGATCTACTTCCCTCTGCCTGGCTCCCTGTCCTCCCTGCCCCTGGCTGGATGCAGTCATGGAGCTGTGCTGCGCAGTGACATCCTGGGTGATGTTAGTTACACACCTCTGGGTCCAGTTCTCAAATCTGCACCAGTCCCCCACACATGTGGTGTGGCTTTTGTCTGAATAAAACATTGTCATTTCTTTATCAGAGCATGGCACAAACCTACAGGACAACACTGCCAAGAGTTAACCCCTGGCTCAGGAGCTGGATTGAGGATACTTGCAGGTAGGAGTGAGTCCTTGCTGGAATATTCCTACATCATTAAAACACTGCACTGTGCCTGTTTCTTCTGTTCTGGAAGTAGGTCAAGGAGTTTGTTTTCTGGCATTTTCCCTTCTGTATCTGTTAGATCTTTGCAGGGAAACTCTTCTTTAAAGTATGCACCAATTAGAAATCCAGGTCGTTTGTACTTACGCTGCGCCAGCATTTGGCGAACAGGGGTTTGGGATTCAATCCTGAACATGCGTTTCAGTAATGTTGCTTGAAGATGAACTTCGGAAAACTCATGTTTTGCCTGGAGCTGGAGTGCCTTGTTCATTATAGCTGCTGCTCTGCAAATGCTGGTTTATTACTTGTGTGTTGCAGTTAAATAAAACCTTATTTATCCCAGTAATAGCAGATACTTAGAGAAATCCAGCCAGTTTACCCAGCAAACATTCTGTAATGCCCACAGAGAAGATAAAATAACCATATTTTCCCATTTATATAGTAGGGTTGGATTTTTCCTCTCGGTACTCTAAATACACTCTCTTCAGAGGGGGACTGTATTCTAGATTTCAGGGAAATTATGGCACTGGCTCCTTCAAACTTGCTTGACACCAGTTTATAGGCATGTTTGTTGCTAACTTGGAACAGCCTAGACCACGGTTCCTGAGCGTGGGCACAGCCTCCAGATTCTTCTGTGATGTAGATGTTTATATGTTCATGTCTCTCCCATGCCATCTATCTGCTGTATAATATGAAGCACTGTATTGGTGTTAAGCATAAATTATGTGCATTACTATAGCTAAAGCATGGAAAGCAGTGGCCAGTATTCGGTTTCCTCATGTTCTTCAGTCCTAAATGTAGAAAAGTTACATTTAGGACACAGTTTTTATATACAGTCTTTCCCTGTCAGGTACTTTTGGCTTTGGTTTCTGCATTTTCCCTTTTGTTTGGGTGTTGAAGCCCCTTATGCACCAGCCTGTTGACTGTGTGTGATATCCTGTTTCTGCTGCTGCACTCCCTAACACAGATTGCACAGAAATCCTGAGTGATCCCCCATACAAAGCCAGCGCCATCAACTCCTGAAACGTGTTGAAAATAACTCTCCTGTGTTATAAATACTTTTAAAAGCTGTTTTGCAATTTACTTTCCCTGTTTCCTTGTTCCCCTACAGACCTATTGTTTGTTGTCTTCTCCAAGCCACTTCAGGTGGAGCTTTTCCTCTTGCAGCGCAGGTAGCAGTGAGGCAGACACATGCTGTGGTCTCAGCCTCCAGCTCTGTTAGATTCCTCTATGAACCTGGTCACATCACTTCATCTTCCAGTGTCCCATTTGTGAGCTGTGAAGCAGTACCTGACAGGTGGAAGACTCCTGTTTATCACTGTGCTTTTTACCTTTTCAAAACCAAAAGTATGTGTTACCTTTGCTAAATTATAAGCTAGAGTTTATCTGCTGAAAACCAGCTATCATGGTCTAAAATTGCTTGTGACCTTCCAATTCCACTGTAATGCAGTGCAGTGGGATGGCTCAAAACTGCTCCTGGGTAAATTTAAGTCTCGCATTCACTTCCTTGGGTTACTTAAATTCTTTTTTCTTTTTGCTTTTCAGGAATGATAGAACTAACGGAAATGGTCTCAGGACATCCTGTGGATTAGAACTGCTGCCGCTACCACACTGCAGCCTCACTGCATGGTGCTGTACATCTCTGTTCCACACCGTTCCATTCAGAGTGTCCGTGGACACTGGACCCAATGCACTGGTGTCAGAGGAGCGGTAAGGCCTGACCGGTTCTGTGCCATGGTTCCTGCCTGCAGTGAGTGGAAAATCATTTCTTGCCCCTGTTCTTTGGCAGTGCTGCACACGTCTGTGGTGGGGTGGTTTGGTGGGGTTTTTTTGCTTGTGAGAGTTCCACAGAGAGGATCGAGCCCATCCAGGACTGCAGGAGATGGAACTCCCTTAACTCTCTGCCTTACTGCAGTCCCTGCACAGCGGGTCATTGAAAATCCCTCATTGCTTTCTATCCTATCTAAACCCAATTTTATTGATTTTTGAGTGCAGCCTTTTTGGGCAGCAGCTGCAGAGGCATCGCCTGCACAGGCATCACCTTCTCAGCTCTCTCTCTCTCCTGGACTTAAATGGACTTTCCTTTTTTTGGCACATGCACTGTTTTCAGCAAGCCCCATTCATCTGTCACCCCAGTGCATGTGCTGGATTGGACCAATTTCAGCTCCCTGAACTGGGGAGCAGCTGTTCGGGCACATGAAGTGGTCACAGGAGCTCTTGAGGAAGACTCCAGTGCTTACATCAGGGTCTGTCCAGCCTCACCTTCCTCGGAAGAGTTAATTTAACACATGCTGTGTAGGGGGGAATTCTGAGGAGCTTCTAAAGACTGCTGGGGCTGGGGTGGTATCTTTTCATTTCTGTGGAAGGGTCAGGACTCCTGTAAGTCTTTTCCCTGTAAAGACAGACCTGAGTGTTGGCCACTGGTTTGTGGCGCTGCCTCTGCTGAAGGAATGGGAATGTCCATGCCGAGGTTTAAGGGAATGTCCATGTGGACACATCCAGTATGGATGAGAAACTGAACTGTGGCTCCTCAGACTGAGGTAGGAGTCCGGCTCACCAGTAACCGTGGCAACCAGGCTGTCATTGGGAGCCTCAAGACCTCACATGCTAAAACATAAAAAACCCCAAACTCACCGCAGCATCCGTTAGCACTCTGACACGTTCGAGATCTGTCCCTCAGTTTTGCTGTACGCAGATGTTGACAGCTGTGGCTGTCACTTGTACGTAGGAGTGTTCTTCCCTGCTCTGTCTGCTCCATCAGCAGCAGAAATTGTTCCTGGTGGCAGATGTTCTGGTGGCTTCCAATTAAAAGGGGATATTTGAATTTCAAGTGGGAGAAACACTGTGAAGGCAGTTTTGTATTCACCTGAAGAAGTGTCACCTATGGCCCCCTTCCAAGCCCAGGGCAGTCACATCAGTATTTACAGCATTCAGCTGTGTTTGCACTCGAGAACCATTAATGCAGCATACCAGCCCTGGTGACAAGTTACATTCTGTTGCTGTCAGCAAACAAAGATGTTGTTTCTTTGTCTGCAAACTCCTCTTTCCTTTTATATCAACCATTAGGTTTGAGTTCTGCAGGAGGTGTTTTTCCAGTGTTTTCTGGAAGCTGCCAGAGAGGTGATGGAGTGAACTCCTGGGAGCTTGTGGAAGACACTGGTTAATATTTCCCTATGGGATTAAATAAAGGGGTCGGGGTAGGTTCTTTGCTTGGGATGGAATTAATCCATTTGCTAAACCAATTCCCCTCTTTGGGAGGGGAGAGTCTCTGAAATAAATACTTAATTTTAAACCCACTTCAGAACATTGATCACTGCCCCGTGGTTCTGATTTAAACGCATTTGTGCTTTCTACTAGTGTAAAGGGACAGGGAACAGATCCACGTAGTAACACTCCTTAACCTCCTGTCACCGTATCGCATTACGTGGTGTAGACATTTCATGCATCAGCTGTCACTGCCTTGGTTGGGTGTCTTCAAGAAGTATTGCCTCTGGAGCTCAGGTGAGTTCACACCTCACACCACAAGTGCTGTCAGCATGTATAGAAGTAAAACATACAAGAAGTGGCTCTACAAAATCAGTTTAAAAACATTACTAATAGGGGCTGAACAAGTGGGCTGCAATCTTTGGTTAGATTTAAGCAGCAGGAGGATGAAAACACCACAGTATCCGTACTACACCCTGTCGGCTCTGCAGCTCAAGAACTGAACACGTGACTGTGCAGTGCTCACCTGGTAATTCCCAGTTTTTAAACCCACTTACATTCCAATCAGTCAGCTCCATTCCACAGACTGTGCACAGGTCAGCTCTGCCTTACTGTTACAGAACCTGCTTTTTCAGTCCTTCAGCTCTCCAGCTCCCGGAATCCCTGCAGCAGGTCCAGTGACCCCACATGGACCTGCTGCTGCTCCTTAGTGTGGGCTCAGAGGCTTGGTGGGACCACGGGAAGTACATGGACAGATGGTGCCACCACGTTCAGGTATGGTTAATGCTTTCTGCCAGCAGTGTTGATTTGTGCCTGCAAAGCAAAGGGAGGGGTTGTTCATTTTGTCCCTCAGTTTGCCAGATGATCCTGCTGGTTTTTCCAGGTTCATGTCCATGGTCCCGTATAGGGCAACAGAATTGGAGCTACACTGTGTAACTGCACTGTCTGAGCCATTTCTGATCCTGGAATTGAGGGGTTACAAAATCAGTCCTTTTGGGTTTGTGTGTGTGTGATGAGGCTGGTTTTAAGCTCTTGCTTTATCTGAGTGCTCACTCTGGCTGTTGACCATTGTTAGCAGATGGAAAATGTAAAATACATTCTCAGCAGCAGATCCTTTGCCTCCCAGAAGAAAACTGGTTCCTTGTATCTAGTTTGTTTGTCCCATTCCAGTAAAGCCAGGGATATGGTTGCCGCTGGCACTAGGTAGGCCTCAGATGTGTGTTTACAGACACAGGTAAAGATCTCAGTGTCTTTCAGCTTTAAAATGCAAAGCAGCTCCATCAGCCCTGTCTCCCACAGCTTTTCCTTCTGTGTCCTCTACCTCGCTATGCTTAAGCTTTTGATTATACTTGGGGCACATTCCAGGCTGGTTATCCTGGGAATGTCTGTGAGCCTCTGTTGACTGTTTGAGCTGATCACACACCTGTTTCTCTAAAGAACACGGTGTTGTCTTTGGTGTTCTGTCTGATTCTGTTTAATTGTTCTTTATGAAGATCAGCCCCAGCCAGAAGATAACCCTCAAAGAGGAGACGATCCATCTCGACCAGGACACATCACATGGCTCAGGTTTGCTCAGATCCAAGGTATTTATTTGGATGCGTCTCAAGTTTTACAGTTACATCAGATGATACCCAGGATATTCGAGGCTTTTAAGGTTTTCTAAAGGAGCAGAGAAAGGAAGGAAGGGAGGGAGGAGGGGGGGAAGCACAGGGGAGGATTTCTTATAGTCAGGTTGCAGTTAAGTGCAAGGTGGTCTCCATGTGCTGAAGCAACTTGGGCTTTTCATTTCCTATTAATTTAATTTCCTCCATCATCCTGTCATGTGGCACATTCCTCCTCTCGTTTGGCAAACAAGGGGAGGAATGAAAACACACCCAGAGATCAGCAAAACCATTCTGACAGCTCCACTGATGGGAAAAACAATCCCCCTCAGCTGTGCTCATTTGGCCAGCTCAACCCAAGGTCATTGCTTTGAGTCTCTCTGCAAATCATGCCTGGAGCTGGGACCAAACCTGGGCGGGGAGGGGGGAGAAATCAGGAATAAGATTTAAATCTGGAATTCTCTTCCTGACACCAAACCCCAGGAGTCAAAAGCTGTCTGTCATATGTGACCCATGGAGGAGCTGTAATTTGTGGAGCCTGGAGACCTACCCCAGCCATGAGCAATGGCTTGTGGTATTGATGGCATTCCAGGCAGAACAGATTGAAGGCATCTCAGCTGCTCTGGATCAGTGTAACCCAGCTCCAGGTGACTTCACACAGGGAGTGGTTGAAATCCCAGCTTTCCTCAGGTCAGTAATTCCCATTGAAGGGGCTGGGATTGTGTAGCCAGCACACAGTAAGTTGGGACTTGTGAATCAGGAGAACAGCGGGGGGGGGAATTGCTTCCAGAATCTTTCCTTGGATACTTCCAGTTTCACAGAGCGCACACAGTTGAGGAATACTGTACTTAGCACTTGAACTAGATGTGCCAGTGAGTATTTTGGCTACTGGTGTGGGGAAAAGGCAAAAGGCAACCTAAAGTAACCTACTGAAAAGGTACAGTACAGTTCTTAGACATCTTGTTTTAAAATGACAGTGCCTCAGGCTTTAATTCAGGTGGCGAATCCATGTCTGGGCCCTTGATGGGCAATGCCATCATGGGAATTAGCCCACGCAGGACAGCACTAGCTGTAAGGTGTATGTGGGTGCAGAAAAATAACAAAATGCAATAACCAACAAGTAGCATCATCCATGGGTCCTGTTTCTTTGGCAACTTCTGGCATGTGGTCTGTGTTGCACTGAGAGTTTTCCATGCAGGCAAGTGGATGGTGGGTACTTACTTGCGACTGAAGTGCTTTTGGGTGAGACCAGAGAGGAACTCACTCCAGATCCAGTCTTCCTTTCTCACATGTTTTTGTTCATCCCATGGAACTCCGTGTGTGTGTCACTGAGTTCACTGGCATGAGGTGGGTATTGCAGCTAAGTGCTGCGGGTGCATTTGCTGCTGCTGCTGAAGTCACAGTTCTATGAAGTCATGGTTTATGGGATCACAGAATCGGCAAGGTTGGCAAAGATCATCAAGTCCGACTGTTCTCCACCACTAAACCTGTGTCCTGTGCACAAAATCCTCCCTGTCTGGGGAGAGCAGACAGACCGATGGCTGAGCGGCTGCATGGACACACGGAAGGGGAAGGCCCAGGCCCAGGCACTTGTGCTGCAGAGCCTATGGCTGGAATAGAGTTTGCTTTGTTTCCAGTGTGGTCATTTCTTTCCCTTAGGAAACGGAATGGTCACTGAATTGTGTTCCCTGAATAGTCACATAGGTTTGTGGTTGAAAATACTCCCGTCTCTCCACCCCAGAATAGACCAAAACCAGTTTAAACCCAGGTAGCACAGTACCTCCCTGCAGTGTTTTGGATAGAGCAATCCCTAGAACAGGGCTCTGGTCTGATGTCAGGCCCACTGCTTCCAAGCACGAAACGATCATGACCGAAGGAAGCATCACAAACTCATATGAGGTTTTATAATATATTAAGTGTGGGGATGTTCAGCTTTTCACATTCATCATTGCATGAGGTCTCCAAAGATTTCCATTTTAATAAAAAGGGAATTGGGCTGCAATCCCCCCACGTGCAACCGCCCCGGAGTGGTGCTTTCAGGGAGACAGCAAAATCACGGGATATTGAAAATGAGAAGCAATGCCCAGAATGAAGTCAGGTTAGAGATTTAATTGGCTTTAATGGGAAAATCAGCTACTGAAAATAAATGTAGCTGCAGGTCACGTGGAGCTTCATGAGGAGAGTGGCCAGTGGGTGTAGAGGTCAGGCCAGGACTTGGGGGGTTTAACCTAAGAATGCAAGCATGTGAAATGGAGCATGCACACAGTTTATGTCCCCATGATACAGTTTTCCTTTGTAAATCATTTCAGCTTTCTCATGCAAGGCTCAGAATGGATGTAGAGCTTCCCCAGTCTTTGCTCCATGGTTTGCTTGAAAGGGTGATAGTTTTGTGTGAGGAACACGATTGTGTGTGATTCGGTGTAAACCTGTGCACACAGTGGAGGTTGTAACAGCCACTGCTCTCTGGGCATAGGGCAGTCAGCAGGAATGTGCCAAGGAGCATCCCCTTGGACATTTGTATTTGCTTGTTTAGTTTATTTAGGGGCTCATTCTTACTGTTTCAAGTAAGAGCACAGAACTGGAAGGTCATTAGTGGGAGCAAAACTGAAATACAGAGACTGCTGTATAAAGTGTCATTAGTGGAATGAAAATGTTTAGAAAACATTCTTTAATGCTGGCACTTCACCTGCTTTTCCCTCTGTGGTCCTTGACATAAAACAGGAGCTCGTTCTGTTTCCTGTTTGGACCTACCACGTGCTGCTCCTCATTTTGAGCTGACCTATTCACAGGCATTGTGTGACTGTAAAACGTAAAGCAGAGACAGAAATGAGCCGAAGGTCAAGGTTTAATTAGATTACGAGTTTGGGATTTCAACACTTCTGTATTTAAAGAGGATGGAGACTGGGGAGAAACTGGAAAAAGGAGGTTCACCTTTTTAGTGTTGGATAAATTGCTTTATCTGTTCAAACACCTTACGGGGAGGACCCTGCTCCCCCAGCTGTTGCTGGAGGGGTTTCTGGATCAGTGCCTGGGGACGGTCCTCACCCCAGCAGGTACTTCGGCTTCTGATAACTGCAAACTTGGCACGTGGGTTCCAATGCACTTTCTTCTTCTGTTTGTCTGTTGACAGCAAAATGTCTGCAGGAAGTGGGTGTGATGAAATTAAATTGTGATTATACAGAATTATGGATCATAATTGTATAGATTATAATTCTATGGATTGTAACTGTTGTTACAAAGAACTGTGATGATCCACAGCTACAACGTGTCTCTGACATAACCAAACACAAATGAGCAAATGTTAAGTGAAGGAGCTTGTGGGTATTCTTCAAGTTTCTCCCAGATACCACTACCACATCTACTACCAGCTGCTTGTTTTAATGTGGATATTGCATGCTGTGTAAACTCTTAGACCAACCCACTACTTTATACTGTCATTTGTGTGTGACTTTGCAATCAGAGTACCGGAGAACACCCAGAGGTTAATGAATTCTGTCTTTCCTTGCCAGTGTGAGGAACCGAAGTGATAATCTCTTGTTAGAGAGGGAAAAGAGGGCTCATGTCATGTCCAGTAGTTCAGCCTGTGGCTGACCTGAGAACCAAACCAAACTCTCCAGAGCAGGCTCGGTGCCGAGGCAGCTCAGTCACTCCTGCTCTCCCAGACCACCCA